TTCAGACTATTGATATATATATATATATATAACTAAAAAGGGGGAAAGATATGCGTTTATAATAATATGTAGAAAATATGCTAATGTGTGTTTTTGAAATATATAAAAAATTAGTTACAAAGCATCGTTTCTATAGTCCATAAGACCGCTTTGTGTTGACGCTCCAACGAGAGGGTTGCAGATTCAGAAAGTCGCGGCATTCGCGGATCATTTTCTTCTTCTAGACCTTGCGTCGACAAAGGCTCCATATGATGGAGTGCAAGAGCATAATGAGGCACTAACCCGTTACTTCGCGCCAAATAGAATGTCTCCCCTCGTTTTTCAGAATCCCTATTTTGGTAATCATCGTTTTCTGTTCCCAGAGTGTGGTCCGTAACTGAAGTTAACTCTGTAAAAAGGGGAGGAAATTCTAACGTTTCGAGTCTTAATGCCTGGCTGCTGCTGCCTTGTTGAAGGTGATAAGGATAATAGTGGAACTTCTCATCTTCTCTGGCCAACTCAAGGCATTGCGTAAATACGCTGAAATTTGCATCTTCAGACTTTATTTTCTTGTTTGCATTTACCCTAACAATTGGATTGATGCTAAGATCAAAAATATTACACCCAGAGAACCCCTTGGCATGATAAGAAGAGCATTTTTTACAGTAACCTTCGTTGGCCTGGGTGGAAAAGAAGAATGACGGCTCTGAGATTGCCTCTTTCAGAGTAAAATCGGAGTGATGTGTGTCCATGCTGATGTGTTCCTTCAATGTAGTTTCCAGCCTGGATGTGATGATGGAATCGCTGCTGGGGGCCTCGGGTGTTAGTGCAATCTTCAGAGAAGCAGCGGCAGTGCTGATGGGCTCATATGATTGGGGTATGTAATCATCCCCATTAATTATAGTAGATAGCTGTGCCTCCTGATTCTGTTGTGCATCGTAGGATTGGACGATTTTGCGTAAATGAGGAAAGGGGCCGAGGGATACACCGCTCAATGTAGATTTCGAAGGATCATCGAGGCTGTGCATCGAATTAATGAAGAATGTGAGCTATGTATGAAAAAAAAAGATATATAACAGAGATTTTTAAAAAAATGCATGCTAGTATTTGGAAAGCATTGAGCAAACATATAATTTTGAGCATTCACATGAAAAGTATCCTTCCACTCTTCGCCAAGTGAAAATCAGAAAAAGACTAACAGGCAACAAGCTCTCCCTGGGGGAGTAATATAGGAAACCGAGAATGAAGTAGCCCTCACTGTCACCTGTATTCATTTAAACACGAACGCAGACAGAACAATCGAGTCATTCCTTCCCACTAACAGAGTCTGTGTATCTAACCCAATAGACAACCTACTCGAGTTAATCGAATTAGAGAACAAAAAAACGCTACAGACGTGCACCTTGCACTCTAAGTGACACCAAACGATCCAAGCGAGGTCCATGTATTTTCTATTCTTAAGAATGATCCCGGCTGTAATAGATCGTGTGCAAAGTTTAAACGCCGCCAGAGGTTGAAAGTGGCCAATAATAATAAAGACTTAGGCAGCCATCGTTGAAACACGGGCTGAGATTCTGTTCGACATAAACCAAACGGAGGGTATCGATTGGATGCGTACCGTGGAGTGGCGAAATCCCTCTCATGTCGTGCACCTTATCAAAACTAAGGTGAAAACTCAGCCTCCTGTGGCCAAAGATTTGATTACGTTGAAAACATAGGAAATGCGGTCCCAAACCCCAGACAGAGCTGTGCGTAGTCATGATAGGAGCCATCGCAGAGAGTATCCAAGGCACTTCCTCTCTAAACTGCTGGGACGTCCATCCAGGGAAGATGATCCCGAACCATACCAACTATTACGTAATATTTACCATACAAAAAGCCAGAGACCCTTATAAAAACTATTTTGGCGTCATCAGTCTTGCAACATGAAGAGTATCACTTTCGGCGAAGCAAATTCCATTTGGTCTATTGAATACAGATCCGCTCATCAACATCGAGCAGCTCCCATACAGAATCTATGCCCTACTCTCCACACAATGGCCCTCGAGCTTGTGCTCCCAAACCTCCAAAAAAGTCTGGGAATGATACATGAGAGCAGAAAGAATATCGAAGGAATGCCAAATACGATCAACTGAATACTCATAAGTCAATACCCTCAAAGAGCGTCTTGGCAATAAGCTCTGACAGAATTCGGCTGTAACCCTTCTCTACCATTTTAACACGATCTTCCTTACAGATAGCCCCAAGAAGAGTCCGAGCTTGAACTGAGTTTTCAGAATCTGCTTGTCAAAATTCGGCATGTGTAAGTGGTTATCAATATAATTCAGCTACTCCCCTTCTCGAAAAGCAGTGATCATTCCACCTCAAGAGCCAAAGATCTCTCCATTTCGCTGGAGTGGAAGCTAAAGGCACTATGTGTCATAATATCAAGGGGTTCCTTGACATGGTTCTTCACTGTTTTGAAACTTAAATATGGGAAAGCTCAAGGCATTTGATCCTCTTCAAGAGTATGTAGCGCACTTCTAGGAATTCGCTGCATGAGTATCGCTCCCATGACGGAGCTTAGGGAGCCCCAGCAGCTGACCCAAAAAAAAACCATGAGTCTAACCATCACCAACTACGAGCTCCCCTACATGTAGTACCATACACATCACCAAGTCGCCAAAGGCTTATATTTCAGATTGACTCCGAGATATGGAATCACTCAACTTATCCAGAACCGATCTGCGACAAGTTTGTATTTAGAACAAATGGAAACATGCATCACCACATGTTCATATTCCTAACGAAAGACAATGCTTTAGGTGATGATTGCCTGTAGCATGCTCACGCTTCAATATGCTTTGTTGATACACCACCTACAGTCTTGAAGATGGAAAAAAACATTCCCATAGCTAGTGAAATAAAGGCAAAAGGGGGGCGTCCCTGTCCGATATGCATTAAATCATAAAGTAGACTCACAAAGTGAATCCTATTTGATTATGAAAATGTGCAACATTAAAAAATGGATTTAATGTCCAAAAACCCAACATGAGCTTGTAGTCTAGACCTCTCCATATCAAGAAGTATCGCATGAACTTAAATGGAACACATAGCATGAACTCAATCAGGACTGTAGTCAAGCTTAACTTTACGCCACGGTCTGATATCACTTATCAGAACTCCATCTTCACGACGCCGCTCATTAGGTATCCATCTCTATAAAACACAATAAAATTCAACAGCCACCCCCTGACTATTATAGTATATGACAGAAAGCTGCTGCTACAACGAGAACAAGTGTCTGACATCTCTCGTTCAGCGTGTGTTGTCGCGTTGTTGGAAATAGATTAAAATTGAACTGAGAATGCACGGAACTCCATTTTTGATGTCGAACACTCAACCCAAAAGAACAGGGAATAAGATATTATTAACACCAGAAATATGCTGTTACCAGGGTTGGAGAGTCGTGGTGTAGCTTACCAAATAAATCGCTGCATTCATCTATGCCAGCAGCGATGGATACACTAGGTGTGACCAGAATAGATCTAACGTATTTGGCCACATGGTGAGCTATAATAAGCGCCCCTTTCAGTGGAATAACTAGTGAAGAATTGGAAACCAGGAGGGGCCCCCATAAAAATTGTCGTAGAACAATCCCTATTCATATACGGAAACTAAACGTTTTCTGTAGAATCGAACAAAGTTGCCCGCTGAACAAGTTCTAATAGTAAAGCCGCGACGTAGTGTACAAGTGGCAGATCAACAAGACCCTTTTTTTAGTTATGCAGGTTAATAGGCTCTGTGTACACGCCATCAAAGAACTATTGGAAAGAAATTCGAGCAATGATTTTAACCTACTTCTTATGGATGATAATGATATGAATGCCAATGATTTAGGGAACAACTTACCCCTGCTTCATAAGAAAAACTAGTATCTATAAAGTAGATGTTATGTCATCGAGCAGGAATATAAACTATGGGCGGAATGCTTGGGTCAGAATCAGTGAAAGGTTGTAGCGCACAGCAAGTCAAAAAAACATGTAGAACACAAATAAAAGTAGTCCAGAGGGACATGTACCTGTAACAGAACAAAATAAAATAGACATTCGTTATTTCCCTCAGTTTCCCTTATTAGTAATATAGAACTAAAGTATTTAAAGTCAGAAAATATATTTTTTCTAATTATATAAATATAGTTGCTATTTTAAAAGTTTATAGTTAGAAATGTAAGTTTGCATATTCAATAGAAAAATTTTCACCAATGCAGAAAAATAAGATAAGAGGGGTCTTCAATGCAATAAATAAAATGCATCTAGTTCCTTAAATAAAATCCATTAACTCGTGTTACAAAAAATCTCATAATTTTAGTGTAATAATTCCTTTCCATAAATATTTTTAGTATTGAAAAAATGTTTGAACATGGAAATTGGTAACATAAGTTATGTGGACGAATTGTAGAAAGGTAAAAAATCTACAAATAAGTTTATGTCATGATCTATTACCCATTTTTTACATGCTTTTTTGTGTAATGTTTTCGGTGAACTAATACGCATATAGACATATCCGTTTTATGTATCAATTTAGAAATAAAAAAACATCAAAGAGCTAAATGTCTAAAAATACTTCATATGCTTTCACTTGCCGCACGCAAATTTAACTTGTCTCGATATCACAAAAATAAAATTTGCTTCCAGAATTGAATATAAGCCAAAGAATGTGTAATTGATGATATCGCGGTAAAAAGCCAAGCCTTTAAAGACAATCACACTCCACTAAAATAATAACTATTCATTGAGAATAGCAAAAAAAAAATTTTGCCTTCAGATGCAAAGTACAAACACCCATTTCTCTTATTTTCAAAATAATTTGAATATTCCTTCCTTTTTCGAGAAATGTGTTAACTTATCTATACTACAAATATCAAGTATGTAGTGTCAAAAAAAAAACTGTGAATGTCTTACGATTAATTATATGAACTTTTACGTGGGAAAATTTACAAAACTTAATTCAGGAATAAATAAACATAAACTCACTTATCCTCAAGAAATGAGATAAACATAACTTTAGAAGGTTTACTGATAAAACAAAATAATATATATATAAAAATGTTTACGGGAAAAAAATCGCCAATGTTTGTCGATCGTATATAAGGATAGTTAATCACTATGCTAACAGCTCTACTTTTGCCCATGTTCCACTATTGATAGAACGGATATTTCTAGGCAGGAAAAATAAATCACATAGATATATAGCCATTTTCAAAGAAAAAAAATACTTTGTATGCTGCTTTTGGATAAGTCAGGTTTATCCCTAAATTTTTCTTAAAGACGCTTTCCTTGGGGTGGAAATAAGGAACAATAAAATTAAAGACGAATACCGTTTAACCAAGAAAAGGAACAGGTATATTGAGGTGGTGAAGCTTGTGAAACAAAATTAGGCAACACATTTGTCATCCCCTCCTCGTAACTTGTATCTGTTCCGTCGTTATGTAAAGGCTTAAGTGTAGCTTCCAGGCTCCACACATAGTAAAACAATGAACTGTCGCACCGAAACGATGATACACCGTGGTAAGGTTAGTAACTGCACTCAACATCATTTTTAAGGCTACTAATATTAAGCTTGAAGGCAGTTTTTAAAATCCCTTTTCTTCGCCTTTTTAGTAAATCGTTCTTGAAGATTAAACAATTTAATAACCTGATTGGGAGACTCATTCTTGTCTCGCTTTTGTGAAAATGATTTGAATACTAAAAGTCAAGGTTAGCACTGTCGATTCGTGTAACATATAGTTCAATACGCACTCTCTGGCCTGGAATCATTCCTTTTGAATCGATAAAACACTGTTGTTGAAGGGTTTCGAAAGGTGTCTTGGATTTGCATGGATATTAATAGGAGAACGAGAAAATTCAATACCATAAACGCATTCACTTCCATATTGTGCTATTTCAGTAGACTCTTCTGGTGTTGTGGCAGTGAGCCTAGTGAGACCAAATGTGCCAAGAGATTTTTTGCTCGAATATGCATTACTGTTCATCGTAAAAGACAAAGCGTGCTTGTCGTTTTGGGTGATCCCAGTTGGAATCTGCGGCGACAATTGTGATGGTGGGACTTTTGTAACAATTACGGGCTTAGTCATTTTGGGGGTTATTTTTATCGGTATGGATTCACCGAGAGGCGCGTTAGAACAGGGTTGTTTGCCAATCATCTCCAATACTACTTGTGCTGTTACTTCTAAGATAGAAATGTGGCTCAAGGAGTGTTGGTGATGGGTAGATTTTTTTTTCCTCTTAGTGACAGGATGTGGAAGACTACCCGTGCGAAGGGGGTTCTTGGCCCGGTTGCAAAGGGTATCATTCGGAGTGTGCGTGATGGGATGTTGCGACGGCATCATTGATGACGGATTACGACCTAAGCCCACTGACATGTGCTGCAATGCAGTGCATTCCTTTGCTGAATATATTGGAAGAGCATCCGGTTGGGGTGAGTCGTGCACGCTGCTAACATCGAGTTGATGCAAATTTTTAGTAATATTGGTTCCTCCGGAGTCATCGTTTAATGTGCGACCTAGCCCCTTAAAAATACCTTCACATTCTTGCGGTTCATTTTGCATACAACTGACGCTTGCAAGAAGCGAACGCATCGGCAGCCTAGCCCTTGATGACAATGGGGTGATCCTTACTGTCTTCAATACCAAAACAGGCTTCGTATCAAACTGCATTGATGAACGGTGTAAAGACTGCATGGAAAAATGATTGAAATGCATGTGCGAGAACGTGTTGGGGGGAAAGACAGGAGCTGATGGACATCGATACAAAGGAACAAAGGTAGGCTTAAGAACCTTTTTACTTTGAATGTTTTTCTCCTTTACGTTGATATCGATAGCTTCACCCGACATTAAGACATTTCTGTCTTCAATTATGGCACATAGGTTGAGTGCAAAAGGAAGTCTTCTGTGATGATGATACTGTTTATGGCTGACCTTTGTTTCCTCTTCATTCGATAATTTAAATGTAGTCTTTTTAGGACACAAAATGTTAGCATCATGAGAATCACATTGTCTGCCCTCATTATCATTTCTTTGCTGATTATTTGGAATAATTGGTTCTGTCTGACAACGAAGGTATGAAGGGACTTGTGGAAGCAAAGTCTGTGGTGTTGAAAATTCAAAATTGTCACCATTTTCATGAGACGCATTGTTAAAATTGGATACTTTAGTTGCGGGAAGCATTGAAATAGTCTGTTGCTGACTATGTTGAGTATGATCTATATCCCGATCCAATAATGCCTTGGTTTGGCATAGACTTTCTGGTTGATCGGAGAACAATATCAAAGGAAAAGAACTTCGAGGTTCTAAGTGCTTTCGTTGTGAAATGATTTTGGTGCAGCTATGATAACGATTAAATTGGGGGGTAAAGCCTCGGATAGGCATGGTCTCTCCATTCCTACTCTTAGAATTGTTGTTGTACCTACGCTTTGTGCTTCCTACCTGCATCGCATGTTGACAAGCATTTCCAGACGGTTGGTACAAATTCTGATCCTTAGAAATATGTCCTTTCAACATGCAATTTCTTGAAGTATTAGTGATCGCTGAATTCGAAAGTATGGAACAATTTAAATTGCGAACACGATGATTCATGTGAAGATTATGGTTCAAGTTATCAGGTATTCGGTCATTTTTCTCACATTGGACGCCAAGTGGTGAAACGTAGCTCGTGTATTTAGAATCATGCGGACTACAATGCCGAAACTCAACCGAATCCTTGTGTCCAGACAAATGTCTATCAGAATGTAGATAATGAATCCCATTATTGTTATCCTGCGGCCGCGGCCGTGGAGGTCGCATCGGCTTTGAGGGAGAAAACATAGATAAAAAATGTACTTTTATTTTCTTATATTAATGATTCTTTATCGTGTATAATGCTTATTCTAACCAAAGTAATAATAAAATAATTCTATATAGAGATAAATAAAGAAAAAATTGATATGTGGAAATAAAAAGAAAAATCAAATAGTAAATTTACACTTATGTTAACAAATAGAAATGTAAGTATCGGAAATACTAAACTACTGGTCCATTTGAATTTATAAACATTAATGAACTTTCATCCCTTAACCTCTAGAAATTATTAATTGTGCGGTAGGAAAACATCATTCTGAATTATGAAGTTCAAAGAAACGAATCTATCGGAACACAGTGTTTTAGTTTCTTCTTAAATGTCTCTAAAAGGGAGGTTAGCAATGAAACGAAGCACGAAAATACTAAATCTACCTAATGAAAGTTATTTCAAAAAAAATCATATATAATAAAAGAATATTATTATACGTATTTGTTTCCAATATATTTACTCAATAAACCCCAGAATTAAGTGATAATTCTCTTGTACATTGATAAAAAAATGTTTAAAAAAATATTAGCAATTAATATAAAACAAAGATTGGGAACGGGTATATAAAATATATATAATAGTATATTATTTATAATTATCTAAGATGCTACTACTAGCTTATAATATTGTCCCTTCAGACAAATCATATGAAATATGAGAAAAGCTTGAAGTTTTTTAGCGTTACTATCGATAATCGCAGCCCCGAACACTATCCTAAACTTGTGCTTACCAACTTCTGTTTCTAATAACTGTTTTTCTAATTAAAAATAACTTCGATACACGAAAATAGGAAAATACAAGAGGATTTGAATGAGAAAGATCTGCCTCCGTATTCCATTATGTGACACCTTCGTGTTAAAAATATCACAGAAAGGGTCCCGTGATTTAAGGTGAATTCTTTTTTATAGCTGATAAGTAAATTAATAAAGAAAATAAAATCAATGAAGAATAAAGTATATTTGTACTGCAATTTTACACTTCGTATTTTCCTTTTTCGGAACTAATAGAGATAATTTTTTCATTTGTCTTCAGTACTCTCCATAAAAATAAATAGAGGAAAGGAATATCTATATCATTATTTAAATAAAAAAAAAAGATCTAATCGGTTGCAGCAATAAAAGACTAAAAATAGTGTTTTTTTCTTAAAAATAACCAAATAAATAAGGATGTACAAAGATACAGTAAATAAATTTAGCAATTCTATTTACTTTTACGATTTAAAATCGGAAATTTTAACACTTGTATAAAGGGAACTAGCTAGTTTTGCTCTACATTCTAGTAATTATTAGGCTTTTGACTCAAAAAAAATCTAATATAGTTTATATACATATATCATGTCAAAATCCTCAGTACCACAAATTAAGTAATGAAAAAATTACAACTTGTCTATAATGGATCACTGTGAATTATTTGCTTCAGATTAGCCTCCTTTGAATGAATGTTAAAGTTAGAATAACATTTTTTTGAATCTTGTGAGACCGAATAAGTAGGAGTAATGCATTTTCGGGAATCTAAGAAGGGGGTTGATATATTTTCATGTGGCCTCTGCATTTTCACAATGGATGTGACCTTTCCTAAATGTTTTTCAATCTGTTTAAGATACTTTGATAGGATTGGTGATATGTCTCCTCTTTCGAACATATTGATGTTACCTAAATGAGAACGTTGACTAAGCCTCAAGGGTTCTGATGGAGAATTGTGTTGAGGTTCGAAAAAATCTGCTACAAGACCAGCAGTATCTATACTACAATTCATTAAAGAATTTTCATTGAGGATTTGATAACTCTCTTGCTCTTTTAATTGACCCTCGAGGGTTTTCAGCCTTTGTTCTTTAGATTTGAGCCACAACTCAGAATCATGAAGAATACATTCATCATGCTTCAACCCCTGTGCTTGTTCCTCCAACGCCATACGCACCTTAAAGAGCAACTGTCCTCTCCTTGATGAAGATTTTACGCCATCCTTTTTTGCATCAAGAACATCTTGCTTCCACTGATGACGAGTATACTTAAGTTGTTGTCGTCTCTCTTCAAGATTCCGACGTTGATTTGTAACAAACATCCAGCCTTCACGTACCCGACGACTCTCAGCCCCAATAAGCTTGTGCTGATCTTGAAAAGATGCGGGAAATATGAAATTTTTTATGTGTGGGGCTTGCACATCATTAATAATACTCGGTGTTGATTGAATCAGCCTGGACGGATCAATCGAAGGATATTTTCGATTATTAACCGATTGATAAGATGAAACAAGAGGAGACTCGGCAATGACCTCTTTTAATGTCGCTGTAATGATGGCTTTTAAATCACAATTCTTTCTTTGTTGCAATAGGCCGTACGAGTTTGTTTCATGTGAAGTAGTGCATTGATCATTTTCATCAACTGAAGAAATACCATGCATGCTGTGGCACTCACCCCTCCTGTTAAAATCATTAGACTGCGCTTCCTGAGATGAAGTGTCGTTACTCTTGCGTACAATATTGTCCACTGATGGCTTTTGAGGTTCGGTGAGTATTTCCTGTCGGTCTGCTAACTCGGATTTAGTTGTCTTAAGTTGCAATTCAGAACCCTCTCCTAACTCCTTATTCAATGTATCCGAAGCAAGGTAAGAAACTTTACAAGACGAATTTTTGACTACGGGCATTGATGCTTTTTCTAGATCCCTTTTTTCGTTAACACATCTAAAATTATCTTGAAGGATTTCTTTGAGCTCAGCATAATTATATTCATGCAATGCGCTCATATCATGATGATGTTGTTCTCTGGTTTCTTGCATTTTTTTGCAAATTCTTTCAGTTTCCTCTCTAATAAGACGCTCATTGTTTAGCTTCAGTCTCATTAGCTCAAAATTCAGTGCACGTTCCGTATCTGCCTCCTGTTTTGCAATGCGAGAAGTGAAATCGTTTTCTGATTCAATTATTTTTTTATGAAATAATGTGTACGCTTCCTCATACTCATTAAGAAGTGTTGATACACAGTCCTTTAGTTCACTTGAAACTAGTGTTTGGAATTCATTCAGCTCCTGTACATAAGTTCTTCGCCTGAATTCGCGTTCTGAGCTAAGCTCACTAGTAAAAACTTCCAAGTTATTCGTTTTTTCATCATCAGCTTTCTTCTTTTCTAGATTTAGTTGTTCTATCGTCAACTCTCTAGTTTCATTAAGCCCTATTGATTTTTGAGCGCTTAATTCCTTTTCAAGGTGGTCTTGAGTTCTGATTGTCTCAGATTCCATTTTGCTGAGATCGACATTTAATGCTGCATCAGATTTTGGCTTATATATGGGTAATGATTTTTGATTTTCATCTTCAAAGAACCCCTTCAAATCTTGGGGTTTTCTCTCATTATCACTTTGAGGCCTTTCTTTTTCTTTTTTCGGGTCAATAGTATTCAATGGTGCAAGATTATGCCTGTTCTTCATACCTACATCTGGTGAATCATCATTATGATTGTCCTTTTCCTTAATAAATTCATTTGATGTTGTTCTTACCGATCCCGATAAAATCTTATTGGTGCTTGACTTTTTTTGTATTTTCTCTGCTTTTTTTTGACTATTGATATCAACTATAGATATTGCCCGAGCCAGTGGACTATTTTTTTCTTGTGAATTTGTAAATCTTCCATTGGGAGAATTACACGATTTAGTATTCTGATATTTTTGTGCCTCAGGTAGACTTATCGGTTCAGTTTTGTTAGGAGACACGTTAAAATTCATCTCTATTTGGGGAGTAATCGCCTTTTTGAAATTAAAACAATTGAGTTCGCGTGCATTCGAGCTGCATTCTGATTCTATATTTTGTTTTTGACCTACTTCTCTCAAAATTTCCACAACACGGCGTTTGGACCTTGAACTTGTTTTTTGTTGAACCTGATCGTGCTCACGATTCGAACCACGAGAAATACTTCGAGATGTTAGATTCTTCTTTTCATCCATAAATAGCATTTTAAAATAATCATCCATCGGATGATCCCAAATACTTTCACCGGTTTTAAGGTTGAAATAATAGAGTTCACCTTTGTCACTCTCACAAGCTTTCCAATTTTCAGGAAGCGGAGCTTTCAACCCCTCACGTGCAATCCAAAGAAATTGTTTATCCTCGAGAAGATCCATACCAAGCCACTTTGCGTATTCTATGATTTCAGTTTCCGATGGCTCATAATTAGAGCATGCATCTATGTTTAAGATAACTGGCATTTTTTTTGTGGTGATATATTTACACTTTATATGCTAAATTATATCAAAAAAATATTAGAAAAAATTTAAAATAAATTAGAATATATATTCATTTATTTAGTTGGTTAGTTATTTAATTATTAATTGAAATCAGCAATAAAAATCTCTAGGTTCTATAAAAAAAAATCTCTATATATAACTCTTTTTGATGACCCCTTCGTAGCAAAAATTTTTATCACTCCAATGAAAATTAATAAAAGAATTAATAAAAAAAAATTGTTTCCATCATTTTTTTTCTAAGAATCATAAAAAAAAAAATAATCCACTCACCATTAAAAAATGAATAAATAAATAAATGACCCTAAAACTAAAACACTCAAAGAAAGGAAAACAAATTTCGCAAATGCCTGGCAGTGGATAAAATAATTTCATACTAACCCGCCTGTTCCCACCATATTTTAGTCAATTTCTCTATATTACAACAAAATTTCCACAAACTAAAACCACACTGTTTCGGATAATTTTTAATACAAAATTACAAATATCTATCCATAGCGAACTGGTGAAATAGGTTCCCCCACTAGGAAACAATTTCCCCCTGCCGAGGCGAGCATCCTGCCACACTTAAAATTCCCGATAAATAAATTATTTATAAAGGCGATTAAACGGAAATGAAGCGAATTCACTACATTATTTTGGATTCAATTGGAATATTACGGAATCCGCGGCATGGAAGGATTTAAAACCGATAGCCGCCTACAAAAATCAACCGATAATTTAAAAAATATATTTAAAAAAACATTTGTTTAATTAATTTAAAATCGTTTAGAAAATAGCGGCCCCTTAAAGACCATATTTAAGAAAGAATGGAACCCATTTGGGACATAAAAACCCCCAATTGAGACCACTTTGGTTTCCACGAAGAACCCTCGACCCGCGCCAAGGTCGATTAATGGGGGACTAAATAAAACCATCAAAATGTCAGAATTTCGTTTAAATCATGCGACGTGAGCGGCATTTTTTGGTTTCCACTTGGGGAATTAAATTTTAAATGGATCCATGAAGCTTCCCCCCCCCAAAAAAAAGCCTTATTTTTTTTTTTAACATTATATCATTTTAAATAAAATACAAGTTTATCTGTGATTTGATGCGCCCGTCGATAATATACAATAGAAACCGTCGTTGAAACCTGTTTATCTCACAAATTCATGTAAGATTTTATTCCCGGATGATAACCGATATGTGCATCCCAAATGCCCGATATAAGTTTAAATTAATCCTTGCCAAAATAAAACGCCAAAACCGATATAAGTTGAAAAACAATTTATATATTTTAAGAAAGAAATTCGCCCAAAATATTTTTACACCAATCCCATTTTATTTTGAACGAAAATTGGCCACCCAGGGGGAAAGCCAGGAGACACAAAGGCATCCCCCCATATCAAACCTGGCCGGAAAGACAAAAATGCGTATTAAACCATGTTGGTTTCCACAAAAAGGCCTATAAATCCACGCCGAATGACGCCCAACACGGTATAATTATTATTAAATTTATAAAAAAGAGCCAAAAGCGCACCCCATCCCACTTCCATATTTTTTTTCCAAAGTTAACGTTGTGGAAAATAAAATTTCAGATACCCAAAAGGAATTTGAATGGGAAAAAACAACCTTTGAACACACACAACAAAGCAGCAAGTTATTTTAAATGACCCCCATTATTCCCTGGACTCCAAAATGTTTCATTTCTTCAGTTTATAATTCAAAAGTTTTTTGGGTGATTGATGTTTGGGCAAATTCATTTTAAACGCCCCGGGCGAACGGGCTTAAAAAATGGTTCAAAAATCGTGAGAGCGTGGAAAATCAATATTCTCGAATAGGTTATAAAATTAGGAAAAAAAACAAAAAAAAAAGTAAAATAGATCAAGGCATTGCGATTCTTTATATAATCTATACCATAAAAGTTGATTTTCTTTAATTTTTTATTTTCCAAGTTCGAATAAAAATGCGACAACCCATTTGGTAAACAAAGCTCCGCCTTTGTTGACGTAAAAAAAGCGCCCTTTTAATTCAGAAACGACCAATGAAAATTGAAGATCGCATTAAAAAAATATGAAATACCATCAGCAAAATTTTAAACAGCATATAACTTATTTTCTATTGATGTGTTTTATTTAAATGGCGCCAGAGCGAAACGCGTTCCATCGTATAAAACAATTTTTGGTATAGGGATAAGAAATGACCCCCCATATGATAATCAGAAAACTGAAAAATCCCATTGGTTCCTATCAACTTACGAAAAAATTCGCACCATTAAAAATATTTTTTAATATGAATACCCAATTATTTATTTGTGGATCATCCGTTGCTTGGCCTTTATGGGATTATCCGCTGATCATATGAATTTGAATCCAAAATAAAATTATACGGCGTATAAAATTTATTATTCCCGTAATTATCGATATTCCCAAATTCAAAACCTATTTATTTTCCGTAATGGCCATGGGTTCAAATACAGTCACCCAATATGATATGTTCTGAGTTTGTTCATGCAAATTTTCTTAACATTCTACACCATATTTTATGATTTAGGGTTTGGTAAGATGTAAAAATTTATTGAAATCAATTTTTAAAAGTCGATTGGCCCCATGCAGTCAAAAATAGTTTTGCATAATATATCGCGAATATAAAAATTTCTGGACAAAGAAAACCCGTTTTCTATATGATTTTCTAATATTTCATCACTTTAAAGCGCACATATTAGTCAATTTCATAGCATATTTACTAAATAAAATAACCATCTTATTTGATATAACAAATAATTTTGAATATATGAAGATATTTTTTGGGTCTCGGTTTACCAATTTGCCAACGTTCCTTCGAAAGGGGTATAAAATATTCAATTTTTTTTTCTTTGAATGTATTGATAAAACTGTTGCGATATTAATAATTTAACTTAAATAAGCGTATTTTTCAATAGGAATTAAAATCCGCCATCAAAGGTCGACCACATTGATTAGTAATTTTGAATATTTTCCGAACAGCGATCCAATATCTCCTTCGTTGCGGGGGAAAGCGTCTTAAAATTTCTTTAAAGTTTAAAACTTTTTTTCGACTAGTAAATCGATCCAACTTAATGTTTAAATCTATATTTCAATTTCGTTCATAACGGTTTAATTTTTATAGGCATAACCCACCCACAAGATAGGGATTTTCCACCTTAATGGATATGGTGAAGGATTGGGGTTGCATAGAAATAGATGTTTCATACAACAAAGAGTAAACATCAACTTTCCATGTTCCCATTTTAACGAAGTGGAATCTAGGATTATCACCATCTCTCATTTCAAACTTTATACGCCGGGCCCAAAATGGGCCAGATATAGATTCTCCGACCAATATCTTGGAACAAGGCGTTGGTTAAACTTACCTATTCGATGGGGCGCCGATTTTCATATGACTTTCATATTTAGAACCCTTAAAAATATTATAGGCAAAAGTAAAAATAAATTTAAACATTGAATTGGCAAAGATTTAATTAAATGCAACGGAAGATCTAAAGTTGAAACTACTTAGATATCATGATTCTATAACCATTTTTATGAGTAACGCATTGACCCCTATTACCCAGGACAAATTGAATTATTTTTCAGAAAATATTCAAAATTACTGATTAATATTTTTCACCCTTTGGTGTGGATTTAAATTCGATCGAACTCTTCGCCAATAAACAAAAGATGAATAAACAAATAGCATTTATCCAAATAATAAAAAAAACGATTAAACTTTATGGGATTTGTGCGTGAAAGTAATTTACTATTAACCAAGCGGTATTAAAAAATTATTTTTTAAAATCCCAAAAATGTACGAATAAAGTAAAATGGAATCTGCTATTTAAATAATTTGCATATTTATTTGGATATTTGGTGAAAAATGTATTTTTCAACAGAATAATGAACATGGGTGCTTTAATAAGGATTTTGGTCTGTTGCTGTCAAAAATTTAACATTTTTTACTAAATCACCCATAATTATCATTTTTTTTTATCACAAACAAAATACTCACAGATGTCTATTTATGGCCAAAAACATTTCAGATATTCACGGTATCTCATCCAAATTCCAAAAAATAAATATATTTCCGTCACCTTATAATAATTTCTATATTTCATTTTATTTGGGTATTGAAAATAATTTTTTATTTTACTCAAAATAACATTATGACATGCAAATTTACAATATATTTTAGATACTTAAATAAAATTTACTATAAAAAATTCTTCCAAAGTGGTGGTAAATTATTGATTATTTTGAATTTAAATGGGATAATGTGAAGATGTAAATGTTTTGGGTTTAACCTGTTGTTTTTCTTCGTCTCTATTTTCTTTTCTTCCGAAACTATTTATTTAAGTATTTTATAATGATAGAACCAGTGCTTCTACGGATATCGAGTCGTTGTTGGTTATAAAGTGGGCTTCATCCGTTGTCCTTATTCTATTCTACACCCGCCAATTCTCTTCATTCTTTTTGGATCTTTTATTTTAGTTA